GCACTGCGCTGGCAAGCAGGCAACCTGGTTTTGAATACTTTTGTGTCCTTGGCGTTTTTTATTTACTTGGTTTTTATTCCCTTTTTCGTGCAGTAGTAGTTAAGGGCAGCGGTGGTAGACAACTACGGCCAGTAAAACGACTCTTGTTGTGATCTCCTAACAGCTTTCTTTGTGAAACCGACACCGGTAGCATTGACACAGTGAACGCAAAGAATGTTATGGCCCCAGAAGGAATCAAAACCCAGAATTCTGCGTGGCAATCGAGTACACTACCGCCGAGCTTCACCAGGTCTCGGAACTGCTTTGAAGAAAGACCCTATGCAAACGTAATGTTGGCATAAAAATGGAGGACCCTTAAGCTATGCTTTTAAGACTTGACCACGAAAGCGATATCCTGCCCTAGAGGGTACTTCAACGTCTTAGTGCATACTTTTTGTTGTATGATGGCACTCGAGAAGTTTAAATTGTGGATTACTATAATACAATTGATCAAGTTCAAAGTGGCTTGTGTCAGCGAAGCGTTTTCCTATGTACGCATTGTATGTAATGGGTAGCATGCTTTATACCACTGGCAATTATGCGCATGCAATCTTCTCAATTTTGCAATGTGCCTTCTACATGGCCTTAAATAGGCATGGTAATGTGCGTGCTTTTTGTAGTGGGTGGCCAGCTTTAAACCATGAAGTCATTATGATAATCGCATGATATGATGCCCGATGACAATGTACGCTTGTACCATTCATTATTATTTGAATATTGCATGTTGTATTGTGAAGCATGTATACAGGACACATGTGTTTGTGAAGCATGAAAGTTACTTTCACTGCATTTCCAAGTAGAGAAAATTATTTTCACTCTATTTCTAAGCAGACACGTGGCTGTGTGAAAGAACACCTGGTTGCCATGCAAACGACCCGGGTTTGATTCTCCTTCAGACCAGGAATTATTTCTACCTTTCTCGATTTTTCAGTCATGCACACGATGATTTTTCGCTCGCTACTAAAGAGTGAAACAAGCTCTTTAATGTTATTGCAGTGCTAGTGCAGACCATGTAATTTTATAAGCATATGTACTCAAATGATACAGGCATCACTTTGAGTTTGACTCAATTGTAGTTAAGCACCATCCACTGAAGTTGATCTACGTAGCACAATCCAGGGGTACCATTCTCTCAAGCACAAGCACTGCATTTCAGCTTACCACTTCTGGTGTTAGCAATACTTGTGTTGCTCTCAATATGCAACTTCAAACATCTGGTTGTATAAAGTATATGTGACTGTTCAACATAAATGTCTGTGTATACAACATTTGCACACATTTTTAGCATAATTTTTAGTGTTTTTACAAACAAAAAATTGCACCACAGTCACTTTTGCTCCACATGCCTCTCGTGACAATTCTCATGGTACGCAAGATCTGCCGAATTTTTATCTTTAATATGGCTTCACTTGCTTGTCCTGGCTAGAGAAAAAAATGAGAACAAATGGCAGCCATAAATGGAGGTAAATTTTGGCTAAATTCACTTTTTAAAGGGTCTCTGTAACACTTTTTTAGTGTGGCAGAAAGTTTCAAACATAGCACAGGAAACTGCCTGGAATTGACATTTAATTACCGAGGTGTATTTCACATCGCTTCCTCTCTAAAAATGATGCCATATACCTGAATGGCTGCACCATAAACACATAGTGCACGGCCATAGGCTAATTTTAACATTGAGTGTTGCCAAGTTACCATAGCTGCCACAAGATGCCGCTGCACTCACAATTGCATTGAAGGTAAGCCACGCGTTCAGAAAAAGTGCTCAAGATCATGAGACACACTTGCAAATGTTGCTTCTTGCCCTTTAGTCATACTCCCCACCCACCCCCCACGTAGCTTTCAACACTCGCTGGTACGAAAGGAGGGAAAGAACCTAAAGTGTGCAACGAGTTCCAGCTACTCCACTCGTACTTGACAAATCCTAAAAATTTTCCATCATTCTATTCGCGAAGCAATAAACTACTTTGATGAAGCCATTTGACAATTTTTGGAAAAGTGTTCCAGGACCAGAAAAGTACACTTCAAGAAAGAGGTCAGACATTTATGCTTGACATCATTATTTTGTGCTGTAATTGTTTTTGTTCAGAATATGCACAGTCATTGCATGTTTGACTCCTAGATTTGCCTATCGCTTCTATTTCACTTTTGGGACCCGCTTTACTGTTCTGTTTTTGCCTGCGGTGGAAAGGTTTCAGAAATGCTGCATTGTCTGTCCTCAAGTGCGCATGTCTATTTTTGCACTGTTTTTACATCCCAAATTAAAGACAAGAACACAAGAGATGACAGGGTGCTGATCTCTCTACTAAAATTTATTGGAAGGCACATGTACATATATGAATTAGCCAACCTAGTCACATGAAAAACCTTGGCATCTGCACAGCAGAGCAAACGGGGTACAAAAAAGACCCTATCATGGTGAAAAGTGACACGTGTGTGAACACTCGAGAAATAAAAAAAAAAAACCCTTCTACTGGCAAAAAAATATGCATAACAGTCCATAAAAACTATTTGTTCCAAACTCAGGTATCGAACCTCCTTTTCACCCAGGGCCACAGACGGCTTACTCAAGCACTTTTCCCTCCTTATGTCTCCATCGCCTCCCTAGTGCATTTGTCCCAATGGGCAAAAAGTCGTTTTCTCTCAATCGGTTGGCAGCCATGCACCGTTTTTACATCCCAAGCATAAACCACCAACTAGGCCAACTTTCACTTCTGTCTGTGTAAAACAAGAAATATACATTGTTGAGTTGATTCAAGAAAGGCAGAATTGCAGTTAGACTTGTGTGTCTTCTTAAAATGTAGTGCAGAGCTGCTCAACACATGTACTACCACTAAAACTAGTGCAAGCAGGTGGTCCTGCCAATGTCCTACTGCTATATTTCTATGTTCTTGGCACTATACTATAGCATAGCAGTCGACAGTACAGTCTGCATGCTCCACCATTTGGTGCAACCACAAGAACACTCAATACCATGGCTGAGAGACTGTCATTGAATAGGCAGTAAAAATGGCAATTCAGAGCAGCTGTGGCAGTCTCTGCAGTGTGATGCAACCAAGTTTTAATACTATACAAAAATATGCACATCGTAAGACTAGTGACATGTTTGATGTTGCGGTGAGATTCCCTGTAGAACATTCTACTCGGCAAGCGTGTCAGACGTTCAGTGCCTGAAATATAGCCAGCTACTTTGTCCTCATTTTGCTTTAACTATGCTGGCACTCTGCCTCTCATTAGAGTTCACTTTATAACGCGGTAGCGTTAAAGAACTTGTTTCGCAGAAATTCCTGCGTCGACATCGTTGGTTGTGAATAAAAAATCTTGTGCGCGACTAAGAAATCGAACAATATGAATAAAATAAATGATAAAAAATTCTGTGGCAGAGTGGGAACCAAACTAGGGTTGTTAAGGTCCGAGTGGGGTTCGAACCTGGGTCGTTTGCGTGGCAAGCGGATGTTCTAGCACATGGCCAAACCTCTGCCTGTGAAAACAATGAAAAGAACTTTCTTTGCTTTGAAATGCAGTGAAAGTAGCTTTCATGCTTCACAAACGCACACGCCCTGTATACATGCTTCACAATGCAACATGCAATATTGCAGTAATAATGTGTGGTACAAGAGTCCATTGCCAACGGGAGTCGGAACATGTGATTATCGTAATAGCTCCGTGGGTAAAAGCTGGTACTCCACTACAAAAGGCACACACGCTACTGCACATCGGATATTCGAAAAGGTTTCATGCGCTAAGTGCTTGAAGTACACACTGGGAACAGTCTGTCACTATTGCGTTCAACTCCTAAAGGCGAAGCTTTAGGGTCTCCTAATTTTTTTAGTTTTAAAAATGCTGGAGATACCCACTGTCAGCTGATGTCTATTCTCTAATAAAATGAATAGACATGATTCATGTGAAACATTTTTTTTTTTCAGTCTGCTTGTGCAGTTTACAACCCAACAGGCAGGAATTGTTTAAAAAAAAAAAATGAAACTGGCAGATTAGTGTAAGCTGGTGCTAGCTTCTGGTACAAGGCTGGTGATTTCCAGTGGCTTCATGCCCACACAATCCAGTGCCCTTAAGTGGAGATCAGGGGCAGTGCTCAGCTAGTGCTGAACGGTTTTATATGCAACTCGGAAGCCTTTGTAGAAATAAGGAAGGCAGCGTAAAAAAAACATGTTTTTCGTTACCTTTTTTTCACTAAACGCATTTAAAAGAGAAGCTAATTAAAGCTGGAGCGATGAAGTCTTTTATAGGAGCTTATTGAAATGCTGCTGCCGCATTATATATTGCAGCCATGTCGAAAGTCAATGATCGCGAAAGCATGCCAGCAGCCTCGGTCTTTCAATTAATTATATTATTATTATTATTTATTACAGAAGCTTTCTTAAAGTAAGGATTATCATTCTCAATTTATAGCATCAATGTTATGTAGTATATGCCTTACATGAACAAAGTTTTAAAAAGTGGCCTTGCATTTCCTCTTTGCAGCAGTGCTGGCTCTTTGCACAGCATATATTGTATATAGTATGTGGCCCACATTCCCCATCTTCAGTCTACTGTAGTGGGTGCAAGGACAAGGTCGTGAGAAATTTAGAGCTGGCTTTTTAAATCACAGGCTTTCAATTCTGCACAGCTTGAATGACTGGGCTGCATGTTTTGTCCATGATTTTTATCATGGAGTTGACCATGCCTTCAACGAAGGTTTTATGTGCACTCTTTTGCTGTAGTTCAAGCTTTTGTTGCGTTAGGGGTAGGATTGTGAAAATGTATAGTGACTGGCTGTCTATACTTGCGTTTGCAAAAATATAAAGTCATGCTGTAATATTGAGACTGCTTTTTGGTTATTGGTTATTTTAGATTATGGTACAGTTTGCTGTAGAATGCTTCCAATGCCATTGTAAATGTCTGCCATACTTTGTGCTTCTTTTTTTTTTCTAGCTTGCAGTGAGACATTGCAGTTGTTGTTGCAGGGTTTGGATCTTGTGATGAGGGGCACCAGCCCTGCAATGCAGATGGAGGCTGCTACACGTGGGAAGAGTCCACAAATAGAGAAGAGGATGATACCTGGAAGAAAGCCCTCAGTCATGGTTCACCCACACATCTCTCCCAAGAGCATGACTGCTCACCAAGGGAATCGTAAGAATTTCATCTTCAGTGCAAATACTTAGTGTTCCTTTCTGATCAGCCATACCTGCATGTCACTGCATGTCATAGATATACTTTTTCAACTCCTTAATGCCCAACTTGTTTGCTGCGCAGAGTTTTGTCTTCTGGGGGGGGGGGCAAGAGTTGATTTCTTTATGTAGAAAGGTTTTCTTTTTTCTTTTTCATCTTTTACATGACCCACACTTGTGCTTTGCTCCTGGGTAGTCAATTCAAAGGTATCTGTGCTTGCTACTTTCTTGTTGAGCCAACACACACACACACACACATGATTCCCAGCAGTTGTTTCAATATGCAACTTTTTGCTGATAATTATGTATGAATGTATGCATTTGTACATGCATCTATAAATCGTACCACTGCAAGAGTAATATTGGTGCTAGTGACGTCCCAAGTAACCTCAGATATCCGATAGGCATACGACGGGACACACATTTCGGATATTCCAGACATCCATCAGATGTCCACGGATGTACACTGTACGTACGAAGGACATACAAATTTGTTACCTTTGTTCGTTTGACATTCCTCTAGGACATCCTACATGGACATTGACAGGACCTTCGAGAATATATGTTTGTGTGTATATAGTTAGTGCATATTCAAGAAAACCTTTCATGTGAACAACGTACCCACACAGCTTTGGAGGCCAGTATTTTTTCCGCCGGAGCTTTTCTGCTGCAAATAAATTCTAAAAAAAAAATGAAGTTATTCTAGTGACCGCAATACGTTCACACGGACAAGCACAGGAGAAAGACTATTGGGTGTAGCACATCTTCTAAAGATTAAGAGGCACTGACCACGTGCTCGTCCTAAATCGGTTAATAGCAAGGAATATCCGAGCAAATAAAGAACTAGAAACATGCCACGTATTAGCAAGGCTTATACAAATTATGGGCAATAGTCAGCGCGTGATCAGTATAGATAAATGCCCGATATCAGCGGGGTTGCTGAAGCAGCGGGGTTGCTGAAGCAGCGGGGTTGCTGAAGCAGCGGGGTTGCTGAAGCAGCGGGGTTGCTGAAGCAGCGGGGTTGCTGAAGCAGCGGGGTTGCTGCTGCTTGACGTGGTAATCTCTGCCGAAAACAGTGGTGGGCTCATGCCACGTTTCGGTGTTTCTTCTAGAAGAGTGATCTTTCATAACTTCACATTATGCTGTTGATGTCCATGAGGGCACAGTTGAAAAAAAAATCTGCCTTCTGCCGCTTGGAGCCTCGGAGACCGGCTCGGCATACATGCGTGCGACGTGACATGAACACCACCCTTTATCGCACTCTTTCCCTGTGAGCACCGCTGGTCAAGCAGGTTTCGGGACAATGGGCACAATGGCGTGTGTTTTCTCCCAACACATCCAGAAAGGCATGGCTAGCATGACGTGTACGTTCGAGGAATCTGAGCAACTGCAATGCACCGCTTGTTGAGAAGTGTCGAGGCTGGCGCATAGATTGCCTACAGGATGACTGCTATGACACGCTCGATCCGCATTTGTCAGTTCACATGCGATAATAACACTAAATACATTGTTTTTTATGACATACGATACACATATTGAATCGGATTGTTTTGCCGCATCAAGCGAAATTGGCATCCTGGGATCAAGTGTGTGTGCCGAAGTTTGAATGAATTTTATAGTAGCATCTCTAATGAAATTTTACAGGATTGTCTCTCGGGATTCGGCAGATGTAGATATATTTTCACTACATTCTAATTTCACAATAACTGATGAGCAAATACACATATCCTTGGCATGTCCTTAAATGTACACCCAGTCAACGTTCAAAACTTAATCTCCGGTCAGACATCCAGTTTTGACGTCCAGAAAGCAACCACATGGGACATGGATTTTCACAGTATGTCCATTGGCTATCCGTGTTAGATATCCATACGATTGGACATTTGTATTTGTAATGGACAGCCAGTGGATATCTGTGGTAACTTGGGGTAAAATTAAAGCAGTGAAATTGCAATGCATGACGCTTCTAAGCACACCGATAGTGAGTACCGGGCGTGATCCTTGATTGAGCATATGTGACCATTTACAGCGGTCCATGGCAATGCGCATATTTTAAATATACTATCTTCAGTCTCGCTGCTTGCATGCTCAACCACACTGGCACACATTTCATTTTAAAAGTTGTGGGTTTGGTCCCAGTCATGGCGGTTGCAGTTCGATGGAGATAAAATATTTGAGGCGAGTGTACTGTGCAATGTCTGTGCACGTTAAAGGACATCACATCGTCTCGTGATCATATCGTGGTTTTGAGACTTTATATCCCGTATATTATTTGATTTGAAAATTGGTGATGCAATACCATTAAAAATGCAGGTTTAAGGACTGCTTTCTACCACCTTGAAAAATGGATTGTCTCGCACTCTTTATCAGTGCGCAAGGGAGAAAGAACTCCACATTTCACTATTTTGACTCTGGTTGTAGATCACCAGAGTACATTTTTCTTGCTTCAACTGTACAGTTTTAGCAATTTTACACTAAATTGACAAAACACCGATTTCAGACTGTCAGCTGTCACCAGGAGCTGTTTTTTCACCATGTAGGTGTCCTTGTTATACCACACCAACAGTCTGCTGACTATACACTAAAAGCTCCATTTATATCGCGTCATTCTCCTAGTCATGTCAGCCAGTTCTCAAGTCGCACAGGAGGTGTGCACATTCTCGCTTGGCCACTAGATGACAAGATAGCTAAAAGTTTTCCTGGTGCTGGTGTTTTTGGTCTGCCTTTACATTACGCTATAACAGCACACTATCTTTGGAAGCGTTGTTATCCTCGGCCAATTGTTTGCATCTGTATCGAGTCTTCGTGAATTTCATGTCAGTCTGGCGTAAACGTGCTTTTAGTGTACACATTTATATGCATACATAATGTACTGACACTTCTTTTTGCACTATAGATTACACTAAGTAAATCACCTCTAATTGGTACATAATGCTTGCTGCTTCAAATGAACATTAATTTGACAAACTGCTACAATGACTACCAAAAAAAAAAAATCCCATATTGTTTCCATGCTTCAGTAATAATCTCTCTATCCAGAGTCCAGCTGTACATTACGGGTGATTATTGCTTGTGAAGGTGTCACACAGGTCCCGTTAATTAGGGAGGCGATCGCCGGGCTAATTCCAAGAGCCGAAGTATCGGCCCCCCGAACCGCACCACGAAAGCGTGGACAATTTAGAAGTGGTCCTTATTGGCGCGCCAGCAGACGCCGGCTGTGGCCCAAAGAACAAGTCAGAGCCGAGAGTTGATAAACAAACAAAATTATATTCTCAATAATGGCAGATCGAAAACAATACCCGAGTATGCACACTCCACAATAGTTGAGTACAATATGTCACCAATCAACCAACGTACTATACAATACAATCAACCACACTCAAAACAACGGACACAGACTACAATTCATACTACAATGCAGTCGCATGCATTGAACAACCAAGACACTTAAGGACTAAAGAGATAGAAAACCTATTCAGTCCAAAGTCCTTGGAACAAAAGTATGAATGATACTCTTCCGAGAATCACTCACTCAAAGTCCAGCGTTGTTGTCGTTCCGCTGCCCCCTGAAGTTTCTCTTCCAGGAAACCTCGCGTCTTCAATTGGCCACTCTTCAAGCTTCAACTTCTTCGCCGGAAACACGTCGGCTTCACACACGCAGCTGTTGCCACGCGTCTTCGCTCGATAGCGGTAAACACACGCTCTTGCCTGTAGCTCGAGCCTTCACCCCTCAGGTGGAAATCCTCTTCTTCTCCTGCTTTGTCGCTACGGACAAAACCTTCGCCGACTACACGGCGGAATCCCTACGCGCTCTGGCGCTAACTTCCGTCTTCTCCTGCTTTGTCTCTACAGACAAAACCTTCGCCGACTACATGGCGGTATACCCTACGCGCTCTGGCGCTAACTTCCGTCTTCTCCTGCTCTCTCGTCTCCGCTGCTCGGTTAAATACCTTCCGCACGACATTCCAGAAGGTTCTTGTCATTTCGTCGGCGCGATACGCAGCGAAGGCTGGAAAGAGGGCGAGACGGTTGGAATGCCCTCCGCGATGGATGACTCAACCCGCCGTGACCACGCCTATTTCCTTCTGGAACTTTCCAGCGCTTGCTCGGTCGCCGCTGTGGAATGAGGAGGTTCATTGGCGAAGCCACGCTTCCGAGGGAAGAGCGCGCGCCCGGGGGGGGGGGGGGGGGGGGGGAGCCTTGGATGTTTGTTTTCTTTTTTTTTCTTTTGACCTCGCGGCGTTTCTCCCGCCCGTTATCGCAAGAATTTGGCGGCGCACCCATTTTTAGCGCTCGTTCTGTGACAGAAGGTGCATAAAGGTCAGTTTCATTGTAATGTAGAATTGATGAATGGAATATTATACCAAGCAAGACTGACAGCTGTTGCAATTTGTTGCTAGCTCCTTTAGCATCTGATCTGGCTTAACTCCACAAAATACTGATTTAAAGAAACATGGCGGCTGCAGTGAGTGAAGTGACCTTGATGCAGTTCATTGCTTCACTGCAAAGCGAGTGGTGAGAACACAGCATGTCAAAGGTATGGGCACTCTGCTTGTCTGTCATGATGGGGCACAGATGATCACACCCAGTAACTGAAAGCAAAGGAGGGTTCATGCGAGTCCAGGAACTCAATCAGGGACGTGGCGTAGACAGACGGGACAGCACAGGAAGAGCTACACGTACAGCTGCCCATTTTCTAGCCTGAACGCGCGAGCGTCGATCGCCCAGTCGATAAGCGGTGTGTAACCGAGCACAGTGGCCAAAATGAACAAGAATACATGTATGCCTGCAATGAAGTCTTCTGCTAGGCTGTTCTAGGAACTTGGACACCAGGACGCCCTGAACAGAAGCTTCGACTCGGCGGTCGATGCTTGTACGTTCAGGGTAAAAAATTGGGTGGCTGTACATTAATAGACTTGTGCACAGTGGCGAGAGAATCTTCCCTGAATTACTCTTCCTACACGCTATAGCATTAGTTTTTAGCGGTGCTGTCAGTAAATTAGGCGCACAACTCGATTGGTCACTGTTATTGTGGTGGCTTGACGTGTTGATGCGCCTCATTGTGCTTTCATGCCTCATTGGTCATGGTCGCGTGCAGCTGGTAGGTGTCAGAGCTCATTGGAGGTTCCAACCAAGAATAGGACAGGTGCCGAAATGGGCTGGTAGCTGCCACAATCCCTCTTCACACAGCTCCTTTGCCAGCGTTCCTGGCTTGCTGCTTCAGTTTCATTCCTCAAGAATTAAATCGGTTTCTCCTCGCGCTCGCTAAAAAGGTGCCGCTGCACACTAGTCACTTTCTTCTTCTGTGGTTCTCAAGTGCACTTTTTAAGTTGTCTCCTACTCGTCACGGTATGCAGTTTCTGTTGGAGCCGTGCTGCCCCACCCTCATGGGCCTTTTTCTCAACTGAAAACAGCTGGCGCATTTCCTCTTCGCTTGACTTGCATTTATCTTCCACTCTTACGTGCTTTCCTTTGAACAGTGAACATACAACACGTGGGCCAGAGGGTTATATTTATGCCGTTGTACTTTATATGTAACCTCATTGCTATGTGTGGCAAAAATGTACCTGTGGTGTTTATGTGATTGCTATTGCATTTACATTATTTGTAGTTTTGTAAAAATGTGTATGAAGAAACTTATTTTTATGTAAATTTGTCTAAGGTTGCCAAAAACCAAACCTTATCACTAGAATAGGCTACAGTCATTCAGCATCCATGCACAAAAGATGTGTGCTATTGTGTGTATCCAGGGAAAGCCAGCCATTTGTATCTTAAGTAATTTGGCAAAAATCTCGTAGATTCTCCTCGAATTGCAAACTGCATGTAGAACTAGAAACAAGAGAATAACAGGAAAGGGCGTTTCTGCAACATATTATAAATACAAATGCATCATCAAAAGTAGCCCACCTCTCACATTCTCACATTCCCTCACATTTCTAATATAAATTGATGAAACATCATTGAGTATATTCTTTAAAAACCATATATTGCTCATTCATATAAAATGTAGAACACTTTGGAATCTTTTGAAGAATCTCCTAACTGTTCCTACCTCACATTCAGGTTCTTTACTATTAATCTGTATTTGACTTGCTCTGTTGGTTCCCTAATTTATAGGTATACACGATTTCTTGATGTATCGTATTTTTATATAATTCTTGCTTAAGACCTAGTACATAGGCTAGCACTATTTTGCAAAAACTGTTTCCACCTTTCCTTTTTTCTATTAGATATGTTGATTCCTCGATGCCTCAGTACCAGAAAAACATGGGTCCTGTTGGTTGTGAAAGGAAAGTGACTTTTGGAAGTCCCTTGCCACGTCTGGACTATGAAAGGAGGAAGTTGCTTGCAACTAAAGGTTAGTTGGGATCTAGTTTTATAATTGCAGTGTTAAGTTGGGAAAACAGACATCTACAAAAAGAAGTTAACACTAGCTATGTAAAGCTTAAGGAACTGCGAAGTTAGTTCATCTTGGAGACTTAATGTGTCCTTCTTGGCTGATGCTAGGTCTTTCCTGGTGTAGCAGATTTGAGTGCACGTTAAAGAACCCCAGGTGGTCAATTTCCAGAGCCCTCCACTACGGCATCTCTCATAATGATGTGGTGGTTTTCGGACGTTAAACCCCACATATCAATTTCCTTGGTGTAGTCGAACTACAGCCTGTCGCAGACCATGCAAGAATATCCAAACTGCAACACAAGAACAAATGTGCAAAGCTACCTGTCGCACTCCCTGTAGAAGCACAGGTCTCTCGTGCCTCCTACTGAACTCTCGCAGCCACTACGCTGAGCTTGCTCGTTGCGCGGACTGTGTTTGGCGGTGTGGCTGATAAGCAATGGCACATGATAAGCAACTGCATGAAGGGTTTTTGTGAACATCCGACTTTTTACCTCCATCTTTAAGAGCATCGCTCCTGAAAAGAAAAGCTTGATTTTTTGTTTGCATTTACAGGTGCATGTCAAAGAACTCCAGGTGGTTAGTTCCTGGTGCTCTTGACTACGGCATCTCTCATAATTATGTTATGGTTTTATGATGTATAACACCAATAATTACCTCTCGCAGTTAAATCTTAATATAACAAAATTTTGATATATTGAAGTATTTCAGTCTCTGCAACTTCATGTTCTTCTAACATGATGCATCTCTCCTTAATATAGCATAGTTTGTTTATTGGCGATCTCAATGAGACAGTTTTGCTGCCACTACAAAGTAGTGCGTGCCAATGCAATAAATTGCAACTGATGCAAATATCGGCGGTCGTATGGTTCACGTACACACAGTTCTGTACTTTGCACTATGGATGCTATGGATCAGTGCTCTATTTGGTGTTATCACAGTGTCTGGTAGCAAGCATAAGTAGAGGCAGCCAATACAACAAGCTCCTAGTTATCTTGCAAGCAGTCCTGATTGGCGAGAAAAAAAAAATGTCACTTCTTAACGATATAGCAGAGTGTGCTGTTAATATTTCTGGAGCCAAAAGAAGCTATTCTCTGGCAAGCTGTACTCTAAAGAATAAACAAATTCTTGGCGAAAGCAGTCAGAACAAAGTCTCATTTGCTGCAAATAAGATGTTTTTCCCTTCACTTTGCCTTCCACTTGGCCTTCCCTTTGTGTAACTGAAAGGCCAAGGGGCTACAGAACTTAGTTAAGATGCATTATCTGCTACTTTTTGAACTTTATACTTCTAGTGTAATAGAAAGCACTTCAAGAAATATCTGTGGGTAAAAAGCCACACACCACTGCCATGTCTTATGCTCGAAGACAATGCCTTCGATTGAGTTGTCTTCATTTCCGTAAAAACGCGAACTGGGAATATGCATTCTGTTGAGCACAAGACAAGCTTTCAGTACTGTGCCACGAGGTCAATAAGGAACGTTCTGAGAACACTGTACTTCAACGAGGTATACAGAAGGTGCTCTGTCAGCTGCACCTGCACTATTCTCTGAGATATCATTGCCTTGCAGATGATGTGGATTTAGCCAAACAAGCAATTGTTTTAATGATCAGCTTGAACATTCATGCTTGCTGTAATTGAAAGGCCATCTGCTTGGCCATTTAACTCAGCATTGCAAAGAGTGGTCATCACCTAATCTTTGATTAGTGCAGAAATGAAAAGAGTGAGCCAAAAGCATCTGAAATTTGATGCATATTTTTACTCATTTACACAGCTATTCCTGCACCAGTTTAAACTTCATTTTCTAGCATAGCTGCGAGATCAGCTATTTGTTAAAATCATGAAAACCTGCACTGATGATGCATGTGATTTGATGATTTCAAGGGAATATCTATCTCTGCTTAGATTCTATGTTTTCTTTTCTGGGCTGAACCCTTTATTTTTCATACCTTATAGTAAACTAGTTTGTTATTTAGGCATCTTGCCTGTCGTGCTTTCATCATCCTGTCATTGAAACAAACAAGCAGTGCTATGCAGTGTAATATGTCAATTGAAAAGTGCATGCACATGTGAAAAGTGCATGCAAAATATGCACTCTTGTTACGTACATTTAGTTGCTGAAGTGAACTTTAGTGCTGTGGATTACTTTAACGTATTTCCTGGAATTCGGCCACTCTGCTCTAAAACATTAAAACAGGACAAGCAAGGGACCAGGGCTTCTTAGTTTTAATAGAAACTGATTTCGGATAGAATGTTGTGGATTAAACTAAAGCCAGCACAAAAAATGCAACTTTATTGCACTGACTTGTATGGTTATATATACTAGTCCCAAATTCCGGGCTTGCCAGGCAGCCACAGGCTTCATGCATATACATTGCACCGGTGATGCCAGGAGCATTAAGAATTTTGAAGCTGTGGGCAGCTGCTGTGGTTCGGCGATAATCTTTTTTGCACTACAATCACCAGTGCCACTAGGCTGCTAAAAGCTTCTGGGAGGCTTTGTTCTTAACAATATTGGTGACTTTACCATTTGAAAAACTGGCATGGAACATTGTTTGTCGTGGCTGTCATAAAGTAGCTTTCTAACAGTGTTTTTTTACTCTGCTATTCCATAACTAAAGGGGTTCCCTTGCTTTTTTTTCTCTAGCTGCTCTAAAGCAGTTTTCCTGCTCCATAAAGGGCTACTAAAACTGCCGGAGCTGCGCCATCCTGGGTTTAGTCCAGGAGCCAGGAGTTAATGCTGCACGTAACATTAATAAAAACATCCGGAAAGGACTTCAGGGGTGATGAATAACTGTCATTTTTTGAGTGAATGTTAAGCAATGTCTTAAGCAGAATTTTAGAGATGCTATTTATCAGAAATTTTTTATTAGCTCTTTTTTTATTAAATGTAATACATTAGGTTGTATTTAGTAGACATTTTTTTGCTTCATGCAAACGCTTTCCTTGCAGCAATGCAAGAGCATGTTGGTTCTACCAAGAGGGTGCCATCAAGCACCTGGTCTGGCTTTGGCTTTTCAAAATCAATGCCAGAGAGTGCGGTCAAGGGACAAATTCAACTACGCAATGTCGCCAGCTCTTCTAGGCGCCCCCCTAAACTCGAAGAAACTAAGGTATTTTTTTTCTTCTGTGAGAGAAGCGCACATGCCATTTAGAGGTTAGGAGAAACTCCAAAAGACATCAAAAGCCATTTTTTTTGCTTGTTTTGGATTGCCGATTTATCAAGATTAATGGTGTTAAGTGATTTTTGATGACCGTGTTTTTACTGCAATCAAAATTTATGAGAAGTCATCAGAAGTCCTTAAATTGCATGTCTAATTTCATCTTTTAATGAGCTTTGTTGCGACCAAAAGTAGTGCCTGATGATACCATTTGTCGTCGGCCACTCTGCAAGTTTGACTGAGTTGAGTACACATAGAAATGGAAAGGCTTGATATCTTTAATAAAGATAAAGCAAAATTGTTCAGCAATGCTTTTTCTCTTGTTAGGGGTTAAATTAGCACACTTGTAAAGTAACATGCAATGGGAGGTTTATTTTCTTTAGATTTATTTTTCTTCGTGCTGTAGTGAAGATGAGTGCTACTCATGAAGGCAGGGGTATGACTAGGTCGGTGAAGAAGACGTTTGGTTGGCTGGGTACTCGGGCTGGTTCCGCCATTACCACTTGACGTGTTGTGACCGCTCTCCTGTTTTATAAGAGTGCCACTCTAAAATGACTCATTTTAATGCCTTTCATATATATAGGTATGTATGGGACATGGCGTGAACTGCAAAAATCTTCTGATTGTCCATATAAATTCTATTACTATAGTAATACAGAGCAGAATATACGCAACGAATATGTGCTATTTGCTCTAAGTTGTGGGGACAGGTTCACCTCAGACTTATTTTTCAAGCACAGTCAGGAAAGGAAATGATGCTCGCTCCACACTGCAATGCCACAAGTACTCTATGGTCGGGTTCATAGACTCTGACACTGTGTAGAAAAGCCACCACAGGCAGTTGTCAACACAGGTTTACTAACCCGAAACGTGGCACCGTGCAACAGTTGTATGCAAAGTACGACAGGACTGATTAAGTACATGCTATCAGCTAATTAAAGGAAGGGTACACAGGGTATTCGAATGAGAATTATTCGAACTGAGGCCCCAAGTAACAACTCGTTGCAGGCCTGTGGACATCTGCCATGGTGAAAGAGCACCTCGTGGAAAAGAGCTCGAGTGAAGAGAATTCCCATGTGCTGCTTGGGGGGCCAAAATGGGCATGTCTGATTATATTTGCTAGCACATTGATTTGATGTCAGCAGAGGGAAGCACAGCTCGCGTATTGAGTCTGGTGCATTTACTGTGCCTACAGTGATGCTGCTGGGTGGCTGTCAAATCATTGGATGCATCATTCAAATGTTGCAGGTTTGGATAAAAATGTTTCCACTATTAGGGACCACTTTACCTTATTCAGATTTACATCACAATTACTACCAACAGCATCCCCTATAGGTACTTTTCTTGGCTTTGTCCACTAGTTTCAATTAATGGTGTGTCGAATGAATATAAATGAGTCCTTAAAATTTTCCTCTATCATTCATACATCAATGGCTCTGGAAAGCAGCCAGAAGTGCTCTGTTTGAAAAAAAGTACAGCTTGCATTAACTGGCACAAGGCTGGGTCAAAGCAGAGGTGGTGGGCACTTGGACGGTCCTGGCTGTGCTAGGCTTTTACCCCCTCATCTTTCCCACTCCTTGATACACCATACTATACATGGCTATGCTTGCCTTTTTTTTTTTGTATTCCCATTTTTCTTTGTTCTTTTCTCTCTAAAGTTTCTAGCTCTCCTTTTCTTCCTCTCTCCCCTTTTTATTTCTCTATCTGTGCTTGTTCTCCCTTCCTTTCTTTTTCTTGTCATCCTTGCATCTTTCCTCACACTCACTTCCCTGATGCAAGGCTCTGCTAGCACTCTGCAATCCAGGCGTGCTAGCAGAGTGGTCATGTTTCTTACGACTTACGCCTTTGCATCGTGGGTGTGCTGGTTGATCTCTCTCCAAGGAGGTTTAAATAAATCTTGCTGGAGTGGAGGCCGCCAACATATACCAATAGAACGCAGTCCCCGGCCATCTTGCCATAGGCAAGATACGGGATCCGTAGCGCCTGCCACATCTCTCCGCTGTGGTTTTTAACGGTTATGGCGGCCTTTAAGGGGCAAGTTGTTAAGAATAAGAACGGCCGGTAAGAATACAGTCTACTTTACTAAGTTTCTTTTGGAGGTTTTCCTTGTAAGCATGCACATTGATGGAGGGTACGTGTAATGCCTGTTCAAAAAAAAAAGCACACTCGAGAGAGGAGAGCGAACTTTCTCTGCCCTCATTTTCCGGTTTATTTTATTCTTCATGTGACTGAATCTTATGCATATATAGAATTCGATGACTTTCTTTACGTGGAATATAAATGTAAATTTGTCTGATGCTCTGTACACTCGCATGTTCGAGAAGGAAGGCTTTCATTGAAAGTCGTTTCTTTTCTCAAGACCATGGTCTGCTTAAAATTCAGCTTGCAGTCGAGATTTCAATAGGTTCTATCGTTTTTAGTACTATTTCATTTTTCTCTGCTCCTGCCAATGAACCAATTAACCAATAGCTTAGGATGCCACTCAAGTTTTTTGAAGTCATCGAGAATATGAACACGCAGAGTATCGTCGCGAATTCAGATACAGTATAGTCTCTGGGCATCATTGGGCTAGCTTTTTCGAGACAATGACTCTGCTGTGAATCCATCCTTTCCTTTCATGAAACTGTATGCCATTCTCCTATAGTGTTCTCTGCTGACATATGCCCTGCCGCGGTGGTCTAGTGGCTAAGGTACTCGGCTGCTGACCTGCAGGTCGCGGGTTTGAATCCCGGCTGCGGCGGGTGCATTTTCGATGGAGGCGGAAATGTTGTAGGCCCGTGTGCTCAGATTTGGGTGCACGTTAAAGAACCCCAGGTGGTCGAAATTTCCGGAGCCCTCCACTACGGCGTCTCTCATAATCATATGGTGGTTTTGGGACGTTAAACCCCACATATCAATCAAATCTCTGCTGACATGTGCTCGATATTAAACTTCTATTCTCCATCAGCATATGAGTACGCATTAATACTGCACTTCTAGTGTACAAACGCCCGCAACTCAGATGGATACAGGCCTTTCTGGCATTTTTGCGCTTTATGGAGGATTTACTGTATGTAAGAGGGAAGACTGCATGCAGTGAATACCCTCCTTCCTTATTGTAGCTTGAGGATAAACCCCGCTCTATTGGTCGTGTCTGCAATTTCTCTGCGATAGCATTTTGTTTCGTAGCTGTTTTATCTCCCCTGAGGAAGCACGGCGCATTTTTTTTAATTTTGTATTAGCTGCTCGGGTAGGCGACACAACTGTCAAATCTTTAACAAGCCGTTCAAGTTGAATACATGTATCGGTAGGAGTACCCTGAGCCTCGGTTATGGTCGCTTTTTTTGCAGCTGGAACTAGCATTGCACTGTTCACACCTACTGCGTGGTTTTACTCTCTGCTCCACGAATAACAAAATAAAAGGCACGAACTTAAAAAGAAATGGGTCCCTGGGTTTTGCCCAAACAGTTTAATAGACTCGTAGTAGTGTTACCCTTTTAACATAAGGAATCAATCATAAAATGTAGGGAGTCTTTTATTTAATCCAATGAATAGTTGACAGTGCATCCTTTTCCTATTTGTGCACAGATCTACTGGTATCAACAAGCAGAAGGAGCTATCACTACGCTATCACTGGGTTTAGCAGGCGTTTTATAAATGCATCAAGCCCAGCCGGACAACTTGCAGGGTTGCAACGCAGTCCATTTGAAACAATTTGGCCAGAACTGCCTCTAACATCGCAGTCTTTTGGCTTTGATCTTCCCATCGTCTTAAGAAAACAAATGTTCAACAGCATGCCCAGACTTCAAATATTTTGGTTCTTAAGAAACCTGTCTGGAAAAAAGAATGGCCATGGGATGTGAAGGCAGGTTGTGAGCTGTCAGCATATGTTTCGGCGTACCGAGAAGTTTTCGTCAAGCTCTAAATTTACTACTCACAACTAAAGCTTTATCCCAAAGCACCTTCTCACTTGATTTCAGTAAGCAATGAATGATGTGTCAATAACAATATCAAGACGCCACAACTCCAGAGAACATCTTGAAGGTTTGGGTGGCCGCAGTGGCTAGTGTTGCGAAAGGCACGCTTTCTGCCTATGATAAGACGTTGCTTCACCTGAAGCGTGCCTCCTCCACTCCAGCAAATTTTACTTTAACAACCTTGTCTCTCTCTGTCCTAATTTTCTAACCCATCAGTTATAGCATCCCACGCCGGTCCAATCGGTGCATATGTTCTACGAGTGATACAGAAAAGGACGAAGAGTGTGTGTGTGTAGTTCATGATGGTGAGTTTCTTTTGTCTAAGATACACAGCCATCCTCGAACATGAGAGCTCTGCTGTAAAATAATTGAGCTCATAATGGTAGCAAGATGCCACTGTCATGTGCAGGTATGTTCATCTATTGACCAGGCCTCTCCAAGTAAAGTCTGGAGCAATCCTGCTGATGCCTGCCTTGGTGCTGCTGGTGGGTCCATAATGAATGACTCGGATGACACTCAGCACTGTGGCACCAACTTTGGTAGGTCTGCATGTGATAATCACCATTATGCCTCCATGATGAATGTATTTTTACCATATTAGTATAGACTTGAAAAATACTCGCAAGTGACATAAAACAAACCTGTCTGTAGTGAGTGGAGAGGGGGAATAATTAGTTGAGGTGATTTTGCTTTCGGTTATTGAATACTGCTAATCCATAGAGCTATTTATCCCATAGCAGTTTCATACAGTTGCATCAGTTTAGGAGACTAAGGTATTCCATGCAAAAAACATTTAAAAAATGCAGCAGCTGTTTGCATTCCTATCACCCTGCAAGCTTTCGGTACCCTTTTCTCTTTCTTGAGGCCAACTTCTTGAGATGAGTGCCTAGACTGAGTGGCAGTTCAGTGGCCGCTTTGGATAAATCGGTGGGCACACTTTTACTCGGGAAAATCTACTCCATTACTTCCCGTACAAAATCCAGATTCACTATTGCTGCAGTGGTTATCTTCTACTATGGCATGCCTCGTATCATGTTCTGGCATGTAAAATATAAGTAATTATATGCCAGCCAGCTGTACACCTTGCTTTCTTGGTGGGGGCAGTGCCTAAGTTTCTTGCTGTAATCTTACCGCTGCATGGGTCATTCCACACCAACTGTCCCAACCAGGGCGTTTGCCAAAAATCTATTTCTGTCAAATAGTTTGAGAAAATTGCACACATATAGTCATTAGTTCTAAAGTATTCTTCCTAGATATTCTGAGCAGCGAAAATTTTTGTGCCCGTTACCACCATTTAAAGTTTACGAAATGGTGAACCAGGTGCAAAAAAAATTCTCTATAAATTAACCATTTCATGCATTCTTTCAATACTTGCTTTTTTTGTTTTTAGAGCAACATGCTCATACTATAAGACAATTCCTCATGATAGCTTCAAAATTTTTCTTCTTTAGAACATACAAAAAACTGAGCAAATTGATGTTTTTGAGAATTTGTGCATAATACACGACCATCAATAAAATTCATAAATTACTTGTCAAGCTATCTATAAAGTTTACTATATATACAAATATTTTCGTTTTGGCGGTGTGTGGTGCATAGACTCTAAAATAAAATCCTGAACTTGGCTAAAACGCCACTTCGGTTTAACTCAAGACGTCTGTACACCCTAAGGTGGCCCAAGAAAAAAAGCCAAGAGAAAAGCGCATAGGATTGAGAATTATCGCAACTTGTCCACAGGAAGTTCAAAAATTTTTTCTCCTCTAAAAAAAACTGTTAAAGTTTAGTCCCATCGTGCTATTGTTTTGCTATGGGGGCAATACAAGCCAACTGAATTTGCTGCATAAAAAGAGTGGTAGTGCACTTGCAACACATTGCTCTAAGTCCTTCTTGTTAGTAATCTGCTTTGTATAATATATACGGAGGTGATAATAAACAGAGGTAAAGATATAACAATGTAAATGAATTGTTACTATGCTCCCAGTAATCAATCGTGCTAGATTTAGTATTGCATGTGGCTATGAGAATCAATTAGTGTCAAAAAAACATTGTTAGTAAGTGTATTCATCTGTGATGCAATGTTTTGTATATTTAAGTTAAGCTATTAGATACTTAAATGTGAAAAGTGTTACAATTACAGTACTAATTTAGTGACAGTGCTTGCACATGGCACTGTTATCGTTCTTTGTTGAATTAACTCTGTGTGCTGAATTGCTTTCGAAATCTAATTTTGCACTAAAATAACTATTCCTTTCAGAGGCAGGATTCAGTGCAAGCAACTTCTTTGAGTGTGTTGGTGCTCACAGCCAGGCACAGGAGAAGCAAATTATAGATATTCCTCACTTGTTCAGCCAACTGGGTTTGGGCAGATATGTGGATGTGTTCCAGCAGCATGAGGTTGGTACATTTTTTCCTTCATTTTCTGCTTGTTACATTTAATCGGGTGGTCATCATTAGTTGCCAACTTTCTTTAGCCGGTGTCACCCGGTGCACTGTTAATTGCTATTGAACCCCATCGGTGGTACCAACTTTCTAAAAAATTATTGACTCGATTTCGTAGCTTGTGTTTAAGAGCCACTTGCAATGAACATATTCGATTAAGATCAGGCCCAATCATCATGAAGTGACGATGTGACACTATTACACTAATAGTGTCACAACAGCTTTGCAAATGCACAGGGAAGTTCAGTTGCACCGCTGACATGCTCACCTTCTGCTTTCTATATGCAGTAGGGGCAAGAAAGTGTGTATTGCATTGGCAGACTGCATCTTTGGGCCTTGCGTTGTTCCCAGTCTCTCTCACTATGGAATGTATCATGTTCATATGTTTTTAGAGCATGGAACTGCAGATTTTTATTTTAACAGTAGATATTGGTGGCGCATCTCATTCGGTGTCTAGCTTTATTTTTTAAATGGTTCAATTCTGAGAAGTCCCTAAAAGTCACAAAGCTTAAAGAAAATTGTTTTCCTCATGCACGAAGCTTTCAACCTGCAACTAGGTTGTAACAGTGCCATCAATTTACTGCAGATTGACCTCCAGACGTTCCTGCACATGACTGACTCTGATCTTCAGCAGCTATGCATTCCCTATGGTGCCCGCAAGAAGATGCTATTGGCAATGTCAGGTGCGAATGTTAGTGTGGATTTTAAGCTACATTATTTCCTTGTATGAATTGCATGCAGTGAGCATGCAGACTCCGAGCATCAGACTCGGTGACACTATACTAAGTGAGGAGAGTCATTAATATTGCACAGTTTGTGCATAGAATGACTTGAAAGGCTCATAGCATTTTCTGTGGAAATGAAGTCGCACAGCAGTTCTGAGAACTAAAACAAAATTAATCAGTTCGAAAAACAACCAGCCATGAGCAAACTTTATTTCTTGCATGTAAAATCCATTATCTATCTTTGTCTTGTATGTGCTTGAATTCTTATACATTTTTAGTTGACTTATGTTGGCTTCCTGATTTGCGCATCTGGCAGTTTCTTTATTTTGTCTTTTTTCTTGTGTGTTATAAATGTTGTACCCACCCCCTCTGTAATGCCCTACGGGCCCTGAGGGTATTCTAATAAATAAATAAATAAAATAAAAGGTACAAGAAAGGCTTGATGTGCAAATAACCACATGATACCATGAATGAAGATGCTTCCTAGGTTAGTGGTTTGCCTTGAACCCAGACCATTTTACACCTATAAGGTGCAAACTTCTCTTTCTGATAATCTCTCAAGATTTGCGCTAGTGCATGCTCTCTCCTAGGCACATTAGACATCGTGATGTCGCTGCATATGGATCTAGTTATCAGCGTATTTTTAAAGGGGCCCTGCAACACTTTTTGAGCCTGGTCAGAAAACGCTGCCGATCAGTAGTCGCGGCTCTCAAGAACACGAGAGCCAAATGTTGTAGTGCTGCATGCGGTCTGGAATTCACAAATTCTCAGCTTGCTAAAAATACATTTCTTTTCTCTTGACAAATGACGCTATGAGCTCAAAAATCGCTCGTCGCAGCCATTGTATCGGTCATTTGTGCATGACGCGCTCGGTCGTTACTAGAACCACCATGGGAAGCCGTGACCTCAGACTCCGTGACACTATACAGAGTGAGGAGAGTTGTGCATTAAATTGCACCAATAGGTCTGGCACACTACGCGAGATCAGTATAAATAGTATCTGCGGGATCTGGCTCCTCGTATTGGAGATCATTGCATGAGTGATCAAGAAAACATTCCCTCTGATATGCAAATGCTGAGCTGTACTGGTTGTCTCAATCTAAGATTGTCCAGATGCCCGTCTTTTTTCTTCATGGTATCTCTACCGATGAAGACACTTTGGATGAAACCAGAGCTGCAGTAAATGAGTGACAGTGGTAAAAAGTTTGGGCTGGGAATACTGTGTAGCTCCAGAGATTGGTAATGGCAAACCAAAAAAGCCAGAGGACATCGCGAAGTTCACTGACATCTCATCTTTGACTCAACTGAGAGTCTACTATATTTAGACTTTTCAGACTAACAGAACCTGAAGGGACCGGAAAATATGTGTACGTGTATGTGTGTATGATACGTGTAGGATGCGTGTATGGAACTGTCGCTCTGACACAAGCACTGAAATGACACCCAAAAGGTGGAAGACAACGTGCTTGTTATGGGTTGGACTCTCGAGCTTCCGTCATTGGCCTGCATGACTGTTTGCTCTGTACAGCGTTGGCAAGACCCACTGTCGATGAATAAATCTTCCTTGTAACATCTTTTTGGTCGAAGGTGTAGGGTCTCAACACAACCTGGCTCTGGAACTCCTCAGTGGACGCCACCTTTGTCCAGTTGCGATGCCTGAAACAGGCACTCAGGCCTTGGTTCCTGCCGGCTCCATCACCTGCAATTCCCTTCCATCTTCTCGACCCTGGCACGTTTTTCGGTACGGACAGTACAGACGTCAAAGAATGGCTCTCATTATTCGAGCACGTCAGCAAGCACTACAGGTGGGACGAGACTCTTATGCTGGCAAATATTCCTTTCTACCTATCGTGTACAGCACGCGCTTGATATGAGACACATGAAGAATTAACTAGCTGGGATGTGTGCAAGCAGAAGCTTCACGACTTGTTCGGACGGTCAGTTGCACGTCAGGTGGCAGCTACTCGCATCGAGTGTTCAATCATCAACGTAGTCGTACGTCGCTTACATCCAGGACGTACTGGCACTGTGCCAGAAGACCGACCAAGACGTAAGGAAGGCGGACAAGATCACCTACGTGTTAAAAGGCATTGCCAACAATGCTTTCAACATACTTGTGTAAGAACTCCACCACTGTCGACTCCATCATATCCGAACGCCGATTATTTGAACAAACCAAAAGCAGGCGAATAACCCACCACTTCATGAGACTTCCGAACACAGCTGAGACTTTGTCCTGCGAGGATTCTGCAATGCCCTGTCCGCTTGCACCTCCTGCCAATATCGCAAGAATTGTTCGCCAGGAGCTGGAGGCCATGGCACTCGTTTCCTATCGGCCCCCTGCGCAAGACAACTGGGCAACAGTCTTGCTTATTCAAGCCGTCGTACGTCGGAAGTTTGCCAACCTGGGCGTCGAGGTTCCCCAGCCCGGCAGGCACGTGCCGCAGCCTCTGAGCACTCCCGTCCACAACGCTGACCACCACTCGGCTCCACTTGTCGCTGCGGCAGTTTCGGCTCCTCTGTTTCCACCACGCTACCGAAATCTATCAGTGGCGCACGCAAGATGACCAACCCATCTGCTTCTCTTGCTCTCATGTTGGGCACATCTCCAGCCATTGCCGCAACAGATGGTATTCCCGGCCAAGCTTTCCTAATGTCGACCGCCATCTGGACTGTGGACACTATTTGCAGCCCACTTTTTCGGATCACCATCTTCAGGAGCCTTCACCTCGCCGTTCATCTCTACGCTCCGAACCGTCCTACGCTGACGTCGCCGCCCAAAGAAACTGGCCTAGCCGCTCGCCGCCACCTCAGGGTCAGCTGTAACGCTCGCCTCAACGCCGCCTCTGTCCATCACCGGCTTATTCTGGTCATCCCCCTGGAAACTGACGAGTGCAGCTCTTGGAGGTGGCACTGCGCTGACGATTCGGAACGAAAACCCTCAACCGGCTACAAATTCAAGACTCAATTTACTTCGAGTGTTTCTTCATGGCCTCACCGTTACTACTCTAATTGACACTGGTGCCCAAGTATCTGTTACGAGTTCTACACTTCGATCTCGCCTGAAAAAGGTTCTCACACCTGCTATGCATTCTACTGTTCTAGTGGCCAACGCAAGTCGAACATCGGTGCTTGGCATGTGCAATGCCCCCATTACTGTTGCCGGCCACCACACTTCTGTTCTCTTAGCAGTCCTTGATGCTTGCCCACCTGACGTCATTCTTGGTATTTATTTCTTAACCGCCCACTCCGCCCTCATCGATTGTTCTACCGGTATCTTACAGCTCGAGTTGTTTATGTGCACCAATTTCACACCTCCAAGTCTCGCTCGGCTACGATCCGTGGAGTCTCTACGGCTACCGCCCCAGGCTGCTATGTACATTCCTATGTTGCCCTTTCCATCCGTTCCTGATGGCGACTATCTGGTGGCTCCCCTCATCGATTTGACGCTTACGCACCACACCGCACTACCACGTACCATTGTGGTTGTTGCTAACACGACGCTACTACCTGTTCTGAACTTCTCTACGTCGACCCAAGTTCTTCCTCCAGGCATCAATTTAGCCGAACTTTCCACCCTGGATGAACATTCGATTTCTTCTTTCACCCCTGACACTAAGACTGTGACGAAACCTGTCATCACCCCGCAATATAAGGCGTTTCTTGATAAAATGATATCCAGCGACCTCTTACCTTCCCAAGTTGCAGCGCTTCGGGATGTTCATTTTCTTACCTGGATATCTTTGACATCAAAGACAGTCCCCTGGGCCGCACAAGCGTGGCTATCCCATCGCATCGACACCGGTGACGCCAGTCCACTCCACCAACGCCCCTTACCGCGTGTCTCATGCCGAGCGTCAAGGTATTAAAAGAGAGGTCGAGAAAATGCTCAGCAATGACGTCATTGAGCATTCGAGTTCATGGGCATCCCCCATTGTCTTAGTATCAACAGCTGGCACTTTTGTGTCTACTATCGCCACCTGAATCGGATTACCAAGAACGTTTATCCTCTGTCCCAAATTGATGATGCACTTGACTGCCGCCACAGTGCCGAGTAGTTTTCGTCCCTTGACCACAGCATTTATTACATTTGACGGCCTTTACCAATTTAAGGTCATGCCTTTTCGGTTGTGCAATGCTCCAGCTACTTTTGAACGTATGATCTCTTCTCCGCAGTTTAAAATGGTCGACCTGCCTTTGCTATCTGGACGATGTAATAGTTTTCTCGTTTTCCTATGAAAGCCACCTGCCTCGTATCTCGGGAATTCTTCACCTTCTTCGTTGCGCTGGCCTCCCACTCAATTCGTCGAAATGTGCATTTGGACGCTGGCAAATCAAACAACTCGGCCACCTTGTTGACGCCACTGGTGTGCAAACCGACCCTGACAAAGTCCGTGCAGTCCGAGAATTCCCGGTTCCACATTCTACACAAGAAGTTCGCAGTTTTATTGGGCTCTGCTCATACTTCCGTCGCTTTGTCATCAACTTCACGGATATTGCTAGGCCCCTCACGGATATCCTCAAAAAGAATGTGGCCTTTTTTTGGGGTGAGGACCAAAAACATTCCTTCGCATCCCTGATTGCCACCCTCACAACCACCTGTGTTGGCTCATTTTGATCCAGCCACTTCAACAGAGCTTTGGATCGATGCAAGTGCCCATAGCATTGGTGCTGTACTTGCTCAGATACAGAATGGCACCAATCGTGTGGCACCAGCCTACGCTAGTTGCCTTCTGTTGCAAGCTGAAAAAAATTATTCTATCACTGGGCAGGAATGTTTAGCCCTCGTTTGGGTCATTGCAAACAGATATCCATATAAGTATGGACATTTATTCGCAGTCATCATGAACCATCATGTGCTTTGCTGGCTGTCAACACTTATGCATCCTACGGGAAGACTCGGCCAATGGGCACTACGATCACAGGAGTACATTCTCGGTTGTGTACAAATCTGGAAAGTTGCACAGCGATGTTGACTGTTTATCCCGACAGCCTCTTGATCCATATAACTCCACAGATTTGGAATCCGATGCCTACGTTTTAGCCATCACTGACTTTGTGCACGTGGCAGGCGAACAGTGCCGAGATCCATCGCTGTTCTCCATCACCGATTGCCTTCAAACGCACCATACTGACCCTTCACTTGGCAGATTCCTGCTCCAAGACATTTTGTACCGCCGCAACTTACACCCCGACGGCGCAAAACTTTTACTCGTTGTACCACATCACCTCCGCAAGGATGTTCTGCAACAATTTAATGACATCCCAACTTCAGGACAGGTGTCTCCAGAACCTACGACCTTGTTCGACGACGGGTATTCTGGGAGGGCCTTAATTGCTCCGTTCACCGTCGCGTTGCATCTTGTGATCTCTGCCAGCACCGAAAGAAGCCTATGACTCCCCCTGCCGGTCTCCTTCAGCCTACTGAAGTTCCAGTCGAGCCATTTTATCAAGTGGGATTGAACTTGCTAGGCCCCTTTCTCACTTCAACAACTGGAAATGGATTGCAGTGGCCACAGATTATGCCACTCGGTATGCAATCGCTTGTTTGCAACGTCAGTCGCGCAGCTAGTTGGTAGCAGACTTCCTGCTCTACGACATCATTCTCCAGCATGGCGCTCCGTCTCACCTGCTCGCCAAACGTGGTCTCTACTTTCTATCTCGTGTGATTGATGATCTACTTCGATCTTCTGCTACTCGTCACAACTTCACCACATCTTGCCACCCTCGGACTCGCAGCCTTACGAAACGCCTCAACCACACATTGACAGACATGCTTTCTATGTATGTATCTAGCGACCACACTGATTGGGACATAGCGCTGCCATTCGTCACCTTTGCCTACAATTCGTCGCGTCATGAAACGGCCGGCTACTCGCCATTTTATCTGCGCCCCGCCGCGGTGGTCTAGTGGCTAAGGTACTCGGCTGCTGACCCGCAGGGCGCGGGTTTAAATCCCGGCTGCGGCGGCTGCATTTCCGATGGAGGCTGAACTGTTGTAGGCCCATGTGCTCAGATTTGGGTGCATGTTAAAGAACCCCAGGTGGTCTAAATTTCCGGAGCCCTCCACTACGGAGTCTTTCATAATTATATAGTGGTTTTGGGACGTTAAACCCCACATATCAATCAATCAATCAATTTTTGTTGCTTCACTTAGTGAACTACTTTTGGTATTCTAGTGTAAAGTATTAACTTGCATTGTTCTACCAGTGGACTACTGTTAAATTTTTGTGAAATCATTGTACAGGCACACTTTCTTCAGTATTAGTGTCTGCAACTGTGTTTCCATATTCCAAACACAGTTTCTTTGCTTCTGTGAAGTTCTTATTAGCACCTATTTTTGGTGACAGCTATCTTGAAAGGCTATCTGTTTGCTTTGCAGATATCAACTCTCGAGCATTGACTGCAATCACTAGAACTTTTCAAGCAGCCCCTGGTGCCGAGCTTCAATCTCCAAATCAGTCTCCATCACGGAGTTTAGTCAATGCCTGCTGGTGATCCACTGTTGTGCTGCCAGCCATTGTGTGCTAGAAATCCTGAGAGGACCTGAGTCTTTGCTGTCTTTCCTACATCTTGCTTTAAACATTTGTTTGTACTTATTACTTGAAACCCTAGCAGCATTTCTTTTATGCTGTCATGGTTACAGACGCACCTGTCAGCACTTGCTGTTCAGACTTGTAGACCTGAGGGGCCTTCTTTCTTTTTTTGTGATAAAATTTACACACTCCCACACAAATGCATAAAGTGGTGCTAGATGTTTTTCTGCGTTGGTTTTTTTTTTTGTATGTACATGCATGTTAAGTTCCTACAGGGCAATTGAGACTGCCGTTAGTTCTGATAGCTCAATTTTTAAGAGATAAACTACTTTTCTTATTGCGGCATTTCTAATAAGTGTTCTTACCCTATACAGCGTAACTTTAATGATATTGACAAGATTCACATAGCAGCTGCACTGAATTTGAAACTGCCTGAATACACTGCTTTTACCTCGCCTAAGTCTCGAGGTCTGTGCTGTTTTTTCCATGTCCAGTGAGCCCCCGTATTTTTCTTGCTAAACTGACAATTAACTCCAGACTGAAGTTATGATTTGTTTAACGAAGTTTTTTATTTGCTCTTGCTATCCTGCACTGAGTGGCCCTTGCTATTCCTCCTTGTCCTCTAGTCTCTTCAGAATATGTTAAATTATGCAAATTTTGACCAATCGTAGATTACTGCTTAGCACAAATGACTTGAATAGTGCCCTCTTGTAACCACAGTGGTTACACTTTTATGAGTTCTCCACGCACAATTTTTAGAGCAAACGTACTTGACCAATGAAGTTTTACGTGAGGAAGCATCTATCATCAGCACTTTTGCTCTGCAGGTTTGTAATGCGAGATGCTCATTTTTTTGTGAAACCCAAGGGTTCAGGTTTTCCGCCCAGCTAATTATGACAAGTCAGCAGTTGCTAATATAACGTTGTTTGCAGGTAATCTTACTGTTGTACTCTTGTTGATGTTCTTGTATTTCTGTTAACATTTCCAGAACAAGTTGACACATTTATAGGTTTTATGAGATTGCCAAGGTATCTAGTCAATTTTTTTCTGTAAGTTGAGCATCTAAAATAAAGTTTTTTACAAGAATTTTCTGTCTGTTTGTATTGAATATCAATATTAAAAATGAAGTAACTAAAGAATCTCAAAAGCAGGACATTTCTTACTTTATTGTAGCATCAAGTATGTATATAATTGGGGTGAATGCAGGTTTTAGAAATACTAAATTAATTAGTTTTCAAAGCCTCGAACTCTTATGAAATTCAAAAAATGTCAGGATTATATGAGCTTTCTGTGGTGAATATGTGAACAGGGTAAACTCCCAGTTATTGGAAATATAATTTAAGTTAGATAGATCTCGATTTAAAAAAAAGATAAAATGATTCTATATATTGCACTTCAATTCCATTTGGGATGTTAGGCACAGGTACAAAGTTGCTTCAAAACTTTTCGTGCTGTATAACTACATTTCATTGCAGTTGCATGTGTGTTGCACCGACGTTTAATAAAACGCTTGGTATGAAGTGCTAATGAAGCTCTTGATATTTTTACATACTCCGCATTTCTCCTCTGTTTCTCGCAAGGTATTGAAAGAAGTCTGTTGCTACACTCTGCCCTTTCCTTAACAATCTTTTGCTGGCAAACTATTTCGAGCACAGAATTTAAGCTTAGATTCCCGATCGCCTCTGAATGACCATCCAGTGATCAGTTTAGCAAGGCATATACAAAACTTGCAAACAGCTCAGAATTGCAGTCCTTCCAACACCGCTTAAGAGCACACTCATTCCTTCCCACAATAACCAAACTGAAAGATGAAAAAGCATGAGAAAATACGTTATCATACGGCAGTGGAATTACAGGAGGTCTGAAGGTAAAGGCAGTCTTGCAAGAATACCTTAGAAATAAGACTTGCATCGAACATGGTTCTTCAGGCAACTTGATATCGCAACTGCTTCGCTAGTCCACAAGTGTTGGCCCCCGAATGGGAATAAAAACGGTAGTGATGAAAGGGCTATAGTGGCGAGTTCTCGTGACACCCAAATCTTCAATACTTGGCTTTATGGAGCTCCTTCATAGATGGAGGGAATGTTCATGCATATTATAAATTCGTACTGTAATCAAACCCTCAAGGGGTAGAGCTTCATAACATTTAAAAAATGTGGTGATGACAGGATGCAGTCCTCTAATCATGGGATTCTTCTAATCTCCTCCTGGTAGAAGATATGTGATGTTTCAAATCAAATTATTTTTATTACGACAAGAGTAAATACAAAATATACAATACACAAACTAGGGTCCCACAGTATGGGATGGCAACGGGACCCTCAGTTATAGTTCCAATTGAATAAAAATTCAGCAGCAGCGATAACTGAAAAAACCATATATGAAAAGCAAGAAGGCATATAAAAAACCAAAAAAACAAACACTGCATATAATGAGTAAATTTAGAATCACCACAACACTAGAACTGAACAAACAAGCAATGCTAAACTAGAAAAAAAACGAAAAGACATGTTACTAAAACACACATCATTAGTACAATATATAGCAATCTGGTACACCTAAATAAAATTTCATAAATTTAAGAAATAATCTTTTAATGACTTTTTAAATGAAAGCAGAGAAATTTTACATTTTAGTGATGAGGGTAGGAAGTTCCATAAGTAGATGACGTGAAGTGTGAAGATGACTGCCACTGGGTCAAACTAAAACGTGGAACGGGAAGTAATATTGAAACAGGTTTCCAGTGCTCCTGGCCATTGGCTACAAAATTGATTTTATTGACTATACTAGTATCCGTTATGTAACTGCGCAAAAAACGGATAGAAACACTAAAGGAGAAAAAAGGACAGACAGGCACAGTGCTTTATTGCAAGAATGAGGCAATACCCTGTACATAGGAGAGAATAAAAAGCAAGAGAGGGCAAAGGGGGAGGAGAAAAAAAGGCAAGAAGTACCAAACTAACAAAAACCCAGGTCACATCAACCATAGCACGCTCGTCATTCAGGACCAAAATAACTCTTTATCATGTAAGGCAACGGAGGGTATACGGAGGGCAACGGAGGGTGTAGGGCAACGGAGGGTCTGCTGCAAGGATGGCAGTTCTGGTAGGGTCTGCTGATGCTGACCGTACTTTGCCTGCATCAGCTGTCCGTACTTCAGTTGTGCCTGCTGCTCCCGTCTTGCCTGCTGCTGCTTCCGCCCTGGCTGTGTGTCTTTCGGCTTGTGGTGGCCTCCGGGATGCTGTGTGCGTTCTTGGTTTGCCAGAGATGAATCCACCGAGCGTGCCGGCCGGGATTCTGGAGGCAGTCCCTGTTCTGCATGCGGCGAAGGTGCTTCCGCTGGTCGTGTCTGCGCCGGTCGTGACCGTTTCTGTTGTGTGCACGACAGCTGCATCGGTGGCGCCGAGCCATGTCTCATCAGAGCATCAGCGCATGCCTGTTCCGGCCCCTACTGTGCTGGAAGTGCTCTGGAAAGAGAACACATGGGCCAATTCTTACGTACTACCGGACTGCTTTGGGCAGCAACAGCGCCTATCGTGGAAATGGCACCACTACAGGCGTCGATGCCGTAGGCTCAAACACGACAATGACTATGCAGACATCCTCTCTCGGGGGAGGGGATGATGTGGTGGTGATTTGGCAACGTGCCTTGCTGTTGTATTGTTGGTCTGCATGCTGTACATGTTTTAATTCTTCACAATTCGTTGTGCTATGTCCACTACGTTACATTATGCACTGTGTTACATGTACAAATGTCAGTGTGCTTTGCTTCTTGTTTTAGTGTGCATGCTGTATCTTTCATTCTATGTTTGTTTTGCATCCTGTTAAGTGGTACGACCCCAAACGCTCTTTATTTCAAGGGAAAGATGATGAGGTATCAGGGTTTTTGTTCCAGTTTTGAACTGGTTGGCTGGCCCCTAGGGGACGTTGTACATATGTTTATAGTAGCATGCTTGTGTACATAAAGGGAGTTCCTGCTTGGCTGCCGGCTGCTGTGTACTTCTTGTTGGCCGGCACTTCAGCGCCGTGCCCTGTGTTCTCCGTGCAGCACATCCGCCGCACGATACTACACATACATTCGGCAAACCTTCATTTATCAATCCACCGTAAACATTTATTTACCCTTGTAAAGGCGCGTTTTACTTTAGTGTTATATGCTGATTTCTATGACGGAAGGACCAACCATGTTTTTTCAATGAATGATTGCTGTTATATTTTTTTATAATTAGTATTACACTTTCTTGTATATATTCAGGCTTGTGTGTATTATAATTTGCCTTATTTGCTAATAGTCTGAACACTGTTTATGGAGTGTGCAATTGTTATTAATATTGCTATCGTTATATTACTTTTAACTTATTATCAACTTATCAACCCTTTTCTTTGAAATGTATAATTTGTCGTGTTAAAAGCGTAGCACATTGTTTACACTCATTGTAGTTGTATTAAAGCTCCATAACGGGCCCCAAGCATCTCCATAAATACATCAATGGAAACGGTGTAAACAAATTTTTTCTTTGAAAGAACAAAATGAGGGCGAATAAAACGTTATACTATCCCTCGTACTTCCTTTCAAAATGGCCGTTAGCTGTATATGATTGGTGCAAACAGTCTTTGTCATGCACACAGCACCAGCTTGTTACGCGAGTGATCCATTGTGTAATGACCACGTAAAAAATAAGAGAATAAACTATTTTCATCACAACATATTGTTTGTTACTGGTTCTTTGCCATTTAAAATTAGCTGTTCACCACGAAACCACCTGCTTGTTACATGACGTCATGAAGCCAGAGAGCATCTCCTTCTAAATGTAATTCAAGTAGGCTAGCTACCAATCACATGATTAGCGGCTACATATAGCAACTAGCGAGATAGTATGAGTTTAATAAAATATTTCCACTTTCAGCACATTGGTGTTTAGTAGTTTGTGTGTGTATACATTTGTGTGAGCTATACTTGCTGAGAGAAAGAGGAATAGAGAGAAATAAGCAGTACTGGACGTGTGCGTTTTTTCACTCTCTGAAATGTATTTTGAGCTGTAAAGGACAATTCAAGTTGAGTGAAAACCAACTAGCCCAATTCTTAATTAAGCCTCGATAGTGCTAAAAATGCGGTCTTTGACCTTCTTCCTGGTTTGGTGGGTCAAGTTGCGGGGCTTAAAAGCTGAGCTTGCTACTAAGCTCGAGTCCACTGTTTTATTCGTGGACACTTTACAAGCTACTGCCATGGCTCCAAGTTACCATAAGCAAGGCTAATCAGATTTATCAGAGACTAAACCGGAAACAATTTTGGGCGTTTCTGTATGGAAAAACTTAAAACATCAAAAACGATTCATCACACTATGGTGGCTAGAAAGTATATATAATCACACTAATCGGCTCGCAACAGCTTCGACAGAGCAGCGGTCACGATATATCCTTTTCAAAAAAATTATTTTCCGAAAGCAGCAATTAAATGCTTTGACCAGTCCATAAAAAGTTTGCTCGATCCCATCTGTAACTGCAACAAGTCAAAGCAGAATAAAAGCATGAACAAGTGATGTAATATTATAGGGCCCCTGTTCAGCACTTGCCTACTCCGCAATAGTACAGCACAAGAGGCGAAAGCATCGCATAGGTGACCCGCCCTGCAAAGAGCCTACAAGGAAAATCATCACAGGGAAAATGTTGGTAAAATTTAGCTATGTTGTGACATTGCCTCGTAACATTTTCATTCTTATGTACGAACATGATTGAGTGATTTCAGTTGCGACGGAAAACTTCACCTTACCTGTTGGTTTCCCTAGCCTGCAGCCAAAAGTGGCCACTGTCGAAAGTGGGGGGGCTCAGCCACCCCAACTTTTCTCAGAGGGGGGGCTCGCGCCCCCCTTACCCCCCCCCCCTGCTGATACACCTATGGCAACCTGTCGTATACACGATTGCAAGATGGGCATGGAGTAGACAACACCGATAATACAGGATACACAATTATGAACATGACTAACATTCCATTTATCTTGCTGGACATTTTGCTGATTCGCCACACGTCTGTCTACTTCTGCACATAAGTAGATAACATGTTCTTGGCATAAATTACCACTTGGACGTCATATCTTTATGCAACCTTTTTTAGGCAGTGTGTAAAACCATGAACATATAAAAGAACAGCAAATTTCGTGTGCAGCGCCTTCTCTTTCAAGTTGCAACCATCACCAGAACCTTTTTCAATTTTCTTAATGAACTTTCCACAGACATTTGGCAGTATACATCCTGTGGGAAGCCTGTTTGTCTCAGTTTTTGCACCTGTCCAGAAAAACTGGTTTCAACGAAATTAGTGCAGGATTTCTTTAGTGCAGAGCTAAAGCATGAGAGTGCAATATAACATTCTTCACCTGCTTCGTATGGCCCGATTTGTAGTTTAAGACAGGTTTCACAGGCCTAGAGACTAGGCATTAGCATACATCCGTGGGCAAGAACTACAGCTGTAGATCCAAAAATTGAATACAGTGGTCTCTTAAGTACTCCGAAGTAACTTTAGGCTAAGACCAAACTGCTGAAAACTCTTTTGAGTACCTGCCGACATATCTTGAGTTCCCTTACAGAAAAACAAAAAAAGAGCAATGTAGTCCTTGACATAATAAAAACTCCGATTACAGATGCCTGTAAAACCAGTTGGAGCACCCGATCAACTCTACTTAAAAAAATATCACTTATTACCGGTGCCACCTTAGACCCAATATGGACACCTTCCTTTTGCAGGTACACCTCCCCTTAGAAAGAAAGAGTTGAGGATCCCAGGTGAAAACAAAAAACAAACAAGAGTGGTGTGAATGATGAACATACCACTTAATCTTATGAAGGCAAGTTCATCGATGTGACACAAAATGCATTCCTTTACTGCGGTCAAAAGCTTACTATGGGAGAAACAGTGCCTGTCTGTCCTTTTCTCTCCTTTAGTGTTTCCATCAGTTTTTTGCACAGTTACATTATGGATCATTACCAACTCACCCAACTTACCATTCTTCTATAGTAGTATATTCTGTCTTTCTTCCGCCACATCAGCTTTGTTTTATTCCTTCATTGGGTCAGTTCCTTATGGCAATGGCCAGTGGCCAGCCTTTTTCCTTGCCAACTGGTACCTTGAACAGACTTCGCACTTGTCTCCAGATACCTTTTGTCGAGTGCCGTGGGTGATAAGCCATAGTGTATAATAAAATTATTAGCTGCCCTCCCTGCTGACACATTTCACAAGACTTGAAGTAGTGTGCATATCTGTGTACATACATGGTAGTTGAGAGGTGAAGACAAGTTGTCTACTTCAAGAACACCTACACACTGCGGTGTACCCTTTGCAGGAGGGAACACATCTAAAGCATATCGTCATTACTTTTCATTGTAAATACTGCAAACACACCAAATAGACATTTACATTTTTTTTTTTGGCAACTTCCCTTTCCTCCTTTCTGTAGCTGCCTGTCTCTGGTTGTCAGTTGACACAGGGGTGGCCAGTAGAATTCACTTATTTTTTTCCAACAACCTCAAATACCGTTTTTCTTTTTCAAATTTTTAAAGAATTTGGCACCTCATTTGAAATCAACAAACTCTGGAACCCATGGGTAGCCATATTTCACCGCATTTTTTGTCCTTGCTAAATAGGTATCACTATGATGGATATTACACTGAGACCTTGAACTAACGAATGTTTCTTTTGTGGCCTTGGGACTCTTTTTCAGGTTTAGACAGAATATCAGTACCCGTACATTTTAGCAGAGAAGCATACACAATAAAAGAAAATATTTCCCGTCTTACTTGCAGCGTTGTCCTCTGCACTGAGGCATGGGTTAGTAGAAATTATTCGTGCAGCATAGGCAGTCTAGTACTAACACTTATCGAGGCGAGAGTAACCAGCGAGACCACACACCATCTGTTTATACTGCACTTTCATTTTTAATTGCCATCAATCTATTCTGATCTTGAATATAGTCTAATTAATCCTTTAATCAAATATGTGATGTATGTTTTAAACATCATGATGCTCACATAGGAACCTATGCATTTCTAAACCCATCACAGTTAAGCAGGGGCGTAGCCAGAGAGTGATGCATGTGCCCCCCCCCCCCCCCCCAAAAAAACTTTTTTTCTCCATGACATAGAGAGCGAAAAATGGCCATCTTAAGGGGGTTCCCCTACCGAAATCAAAGTGGTGCCCCCCCTCCCCCCCGAAAAAAATTTTAGCTACACGCCTTCAGTTAATTGGTTCTTTCACATAACATCTTCACACTTAATTTCTTCTAACCCCAGCAAAATGTGAATGCAAGCTTTACGACACTTTTTGACCAAGATACCTTTCTGCCATAAAACACTATAGACTATCTCTTTAAGCAGGGACATTCAATATGACCAAAATACTGTAGCCTGTATGTGGTGTCTTGGCCACTTAAAGGGGTCCAGAACCACTTTTTTATGTACAGAGTAATGCAAAGCACTT